TTCTTATTTATAACTATAATATTTTTAATATAATAAAATAATTTACTATTTTAATAATATTAAAAAAAGATATTATTAATTTTTCTAATAATAATAATATAAAAGTATATAATTTTAGTACTTACTACTTTATTTTTATATTTAATTAGTATTTTATTATATATATTTAAAATATATAATTAGTTTTTTATAATCTATAGAAATTTTAATTTATTAATAATAATAAGTAAAATAAAGTTTCTTTATATTTTACTATCTATTAAAACTATAAATTTTAAGTTTATTAAAGTAATTAATACTTTTAAATAGTAGATTTATTACTCTTCTATAATATTTATTTTCTATATATTTTCTTAAGATTTTAGTTTTATTATTTAAGTAACTTTTTAATAATTAAAAATATATTATTATAATATTACTTTTATAAGTTATTTAGCTTTTATTAAAGTTTTTTAATTTCTTTATATTATATTTTTAGCTTTTTTTTAAACTTAACTATTTTTTTATTATTAATTAGGTTTTAGGCTACTATTAACTATTTATTAATTTTTTTTAAAGTTTTTTTTTTAATTTTATTAATTTCTTTATTAACTTTAAATTATATTAGTTATTTTTTATTATTTAGGAAGTCTTTATTTTTTATTAATTATTTTATTAGTTATTAAATAATATTTTCTTATATTTATTTTAAATCTTTTTTATTAATATTAATATTTTCTATATATTCCTTTAAATTTCTAATTTATTATTTAAATATTTAAATTCTCTTATATTATTTTTCTATAACTTATTTAAACTTAATTAATTTTTTTTTATTAGAGAGTATAAGGTTATTAAGTATTTTTTAAATTTTAGATCTAATATCTTCTATAAAGTTAATTTATTTTCTTAGATTATTAAATTATTATTAAAGTTTAATTTAAAAATCTTTATTATAAAGTATATAATATAGCTTATCTATTTATCTTTATAGATTAATAAGGTTATTAAAGACTTTTTTTAATTTTTTATTATAATATTTATTTAGTTTTTAATATAAGATCTTATTTTTTTCTATTTTTAGATATATTATTTTTTATTAACTTTTAATTTAAACTTATTAATCCTCCTTTTACTTTTTTATATATATTTTATATTTTTTTTATAGTTTTTTTTTTCTAGTTTAAGGGTAATATATAATTTCTTAAATTAGATCTTTAGATTTCTATAGCTTAATTTTAATTATATTAAGTTATTTAATAGGCTTAATATATAAGATTACTTCTCTTTTAGTTTATATAAGTTTTTCTAGTTTTAATTTATATATAAGTTATTATAATAAATATAATATTTAATAATAATAATAATATATTTTTTTATAATATTATTTATAAGATAAGTCTTTTAGTTTTAAAGTTTTAAAAGTTTTTAAAATTATTTTTATAATTTCTTTAATATAGTTTTTAATTTTTAAGATTTTAATAATTTCTTTTTATTTTATTATTTTAAAAGTTTAAAATTTTTTAAAATATTATTTAGTTTTTTCTTTTTTACTTTAATATATAATATAATTATTATTATAGTATATAGTTTATAATAAAGATTTATAATTAATTATACTAGCTTTAAGTTATTATATTTATCTTTTAAATATTAGTTTAAATTTAATTTTCTTCTTATTAAGCTTTTTATAACCTAGCTTAAGCTTATATTTTATTTAATACTTGTTTATATAATATTTAAGTTATCTATATATATAATATTTACTAATTTTATTTTTAAGTAATTTAAAAATAATATTTTTATTATTAGTTTTTAATTTTATAGATTTTAAATAAATCTCTTATAATATATTATTATTACTTCTCTTTTACTTACTATTAATAGGAGCTTATAATTTATAGACTTTTATTATAGTAATATAGGTATATTTTTACTATTATTATTTATATAGTTAGTTATTAATTTTAATAACCTTTTCTATATATTTACTTAATTAAGTAGGTTTCTCCTTTTTATAAAGTTTATTTTTAATATCTTCTTTAAGTCTATTATAAAAATAAATTATTAAGAGCTTATCTTCTTAATTAAAGTAAGTAGTAATCTACTTAAACTTAATTATATACTTAGTAGTAGATCTTTTCTAGCTTAGCTTTTTAAATTACTAAATTATAGCTTATTATTTATCTAATTTTCTAAAAGCTCCCTTTAGGGCTTCTTTAAATATTTTATAGTTTTTAAAAATTTTAATAGTCTTAGCTTATTATCCAATTTTATTATTTTTTAAATAATCTTAAAAGATTAATTTAAATTAAGTAAGTATATTACCTATAAAGTATTAGGCTATAGTAGTAATCTTATTAGCTTTAATATAAAATTATTTCTTATAGTATTATAGAAAAGTCTTTATCTAAGTTAAAAACCCTTATAGTTTTTATTAGTTCCCTTTATACTTCTTAAATATAGTAATCTTAAATTTAAGTATTATAGGTATAGTAAATATAAAAGGAGTATTTCCCCCTCTAGCTATAATATTAGTATTTAATTATTAGATTATCTAATCTAGCTAGATAATTTACTATTTAATCTAGATATTAATATCTTATTACTAGGTAATAAAGCCCTTAGTATTTTTTATATTAGTAATCTATTTTTTAATCTTAATATATACTTTCTTAATAGTAATAATATAATTATAATTATTATTAAAGTCTTTATTAACTTTTATAATAAATTTAGTTATTTTATATATTTTAATTTTATTATCTAATTTAAAAAAAGTCTTTTCCTTTATAGATATTATAATTCCTAAATATTAATATTATTTAATAAAATTACTTATTAAATAGAAGTAATTAATATATTATAATCTTAATATTAGCTTATTAATAATATTAAATAAATATAATTAATAATAAAATTAAAATAATTATTTATTAATAATAAAATAAAATAATTAAATAATATTTATAAAATATAAGTAAAAAGTATATATTTAAATATAAAAATATAATTATATTTAAATTAACTACTAAAAAATCTTAAAAAATAAACTAAATATATAATAGAAACTATAGTTTATATAGATATTTTCTTTTTAAGTTTTCTTTAAAACTAATAGCTAGTTTACTTAATCTTAAGTATAGGACTATAGTAGACTAACTATTACTCCTATTAGTCCCTAGTAGACTAGTAGGACTACCCCTTAATCCTATTAGTCTCTATTTTATTAGTCTGTGATCTCCTATAGTTTATCCTTTACTATTATACCTAACCACCTTAGGTCTTTAAAAATAATTAGCTTATAATAAAACTATTTTAAGAAATAATTATAATAAAATTATTAATTAGTTAGTTTTTTTATTTATTATTTTTTTTTATATTTTTAAGCTTTTTTTTTTAAAAAAATAGTTTATATTAATTTTATATATATATTTATTATTATAAAAATAAAAGTTTTTTTTATTTTTTAATTTTATAACTTTCTTTCCTTATAGTCTTATATCTACTATAATAATTCTTCTTAAGTAATAGTAAATTAAAATTAAAGTTATTTTTTAATTTATATAATTAATAAAAAGTAGTTTTTTTAAGTCTTTATATTTAATATACTAAAGGTCTAGAAGAGGGCTTAGGAGGTTTAAATATAGCTTTTAAAGTTTATCTTTTCTTTTTAGCTATTAATAAAACTTTTTTATAATTTATTAAATAAATTAAATAACTAATCTAAGGTTTAAAAATTAGAAATTAAAGAATCTTAGTTAGTTTAAAAAGTTTTAAAAGTATAAAATTATAATATAAAAATTTACTTTTTTTATAAGCTTTAAAATAAAAAATAAAAAATTTAGTTATATTAATAAATTATAATAATTATTTAGTAAATATACTAAAAAAATACTCTCTTTTTTCTTTCTAACTAATTATAAATATAGTAAGATTTTAGCCTTTTTATATTCTAAAAATTCTTAGCTAAATAAGTTTCATCTTAGCTTATTTTATACTAATCCTTCCGAAACCACTAGTCGTTGCACCAAGTTTCCACATCCTTACGTGCGACACATCGGGTAGTCGGGTTCATGCCGACATTATCCAACACGTGACTACGAAAGTAGAGTATGATGATGTATTTTCAGTGATGCAGAGGCATTTATTTGGCCTTGATGTACTGCGAGCTCGCTGTAGACTACTAGCACTGGCCCAAGCGCTGGGGACTGCGGTGGCTCCGTAAACGTCAATCTCGATTTCACACGCGTTTAAAGAAATACTAATTAGGATATCGCGAGGTATACGATCGACAAACAATGGCATATGCTGCGAAGATGAACCCCAACCCCAACCCTAACCCCTATGTTCAATCTGTAGTCGAATGTTGCTGTAGATTGAAGAATTTTGTAGTTAGAGGAAGAATTATTTTGATAGAATAAATCCTCTTCCGGTGCCCCAATGATGGCTGTAGAGTGCGGCAAAGAGCGGAAAAGGGTATTAAAGGAAATAAGAAAAAGGACAGGAGGTTAAAAAAAAAAGGAAAAAAAAGATAAGAGCTACATAGTATCTTCAACTTATATCTACTATCGAGAAAGACCATCTTGCTTTAACACAGATGATATAACTGCAGTTCTTATATATTAGCTGTGTAATTATAGTAATAACCTGCAAGATCCGCACCAGTCACAGTCAGTGTGACCTAGATATTCGGACTTTGCAGTACCAGGACCGAGGCTGTAGACTGTCTTTACCCATAATTGACATAGTGAATAAATTACTAAAGAAGTGACATTCTGTCTATATAAAGCTCTCACTACGCAGATGCATCCTCGACGCTCAAGAACAAGCTGCATTTCTTACTTCACCTCCCCTTTTCCCTTTTAGTTCCTGCCCATCATGAAAGGTCTTAGAACGGCTCTTTTATCTGCCTTTGTAGCCTTTGCCTCCACTCAAAAGGTTCAAGTTTGTAGGTATTAAATTTCCATAAAATTCCTTTACCACCTGAACTAACACCCTTTTTTTCTTTGCAAACTGTCAAGTACCCCTGGGTGACTCCATTACCGATATTTGCTGCTGGCGCAGCTTTGCTTGGCGAGAGATTTCCCAGGCTGGCTTAGCAGACCAAGTGGACTTCGTGGGTTCCGTGACAGGCATTCCGGCCCGTTGCGACGCGCCGTCTGGCTTCGATGCGAATCACGAGGGGCACTCGGGATGGCAGGCCTACGACATCGCTAAGAACAATATCGATGCCTGGATGCGGCAAAGCAGCCCCGACGTCGTGCACGTCCTCCTTGGGACAAACGACATCAATATTGGGAAACGGGATGCCACGACCATCGTCGGCGCGTACACAAGCTTGTTATCTAGCATGAGGACTGCGAATCCTAATGTCACTGTGATTGTGAGTTCTTCGCATAATTATTTACTGGGAAGGTAGTAGAGAGTGGTGCCGTAGGAGCAGTCCCACTCCCTCCAAGGAAAAGGAAAGGAGAGCCCAATGCTAACCTAACGCGGAACACCTTGACCAGATGGCCACAATCATTCCCATGCGATGGGATGACGCGACGGCGGCTGCTGTCAATAAACAGCTTCCGGCATGGGTACAGCAGCACAATACCACCCAGTCGCCGATCTATCTTGCGGATATCTCAAAGACGACGGGATTCACAACCAACATGCTGCAAGGGGATGGAATACATCCGACCACCCAAGGCGATCAAGTTATTGCAAGCCGTGTCGCTCCTCTAATTATCAATGCCGTAGAGTTTGTTCTTGCAAGGCGATTAAACTAGAGGATAAACTAGGGGGTGGGGGTAAAAGCCTTCTATTTGTACCAAAATGAAGTTTATTTGTCCCCAGATGGGTTCTGTTACGCTAACACTTGCAAATGTTCTGCTAACATGCCACCGCTTTTGTTCCAATATGAAAAGGAGCTTCTGTGCTCTGACTCTCCTAACCCTTTTTTTTTTTTTTTTTTTTTTTTTTTTTTTTTTTACGCAAGTGATTTGCGATGCGCCTCAATTGCTTGGAGTTTGACAGAGAATCGCGGCGATCAAGTCTTCCTCTCAATCTGTCGTCCGCGGATTAGGGCTAGGCCGCTGAGACAGTATCACGGTCACGAACAAGCATGTTTCCTCTCGCGTTAGCACCGGCGAGAATAAGCCTGGCCAGGAAAATACATGCTTCTAGCGAATCGTGCCACTTAGATAGGTGTAACTGGAGACAAGAATGCCTAGCCGACACACGATGGAAGAGAACGGCCGTAAATCGAGACCGCGAGCTTCCAAATCATGACTACCGAGAGTAGTGGCGGACTGTTCAGTTGATGGAGCTATCGGGGGCTATAGGTGAGTGTGGAGTATGAATAAACCCAGAAGGCTTAGGAATATGCCCTAACTGTTCGCGAGTTCGCGAGTTGCCTACTAAGTCTTATTAGTAGTTATAAGTTAGGCTAGAATAGACTCCTGAAGCACGGCCTTAGCAGCTGTAGTTGCTTGTCGCCTTCTCAGCCACGCTGCATTATGTAGCGGTAGGCATGCGTAAGTATATATCTCTTCGCGTGCTGTCGAGGCTTATGTGCCTTTGTGATAAAGAGTTAGATATCGTGGGTGGCCTGGTATTTATGTATTCGGTTAATCTAGGGTCTGCTGGTGTATTCCTGAAAACTCTTGTGGAGTATATAGGTCATAATAGCATAGGGAAAATTTTACTAGAGTAGAAAATCCGGCATGCTACGATGATACTCCTAAATCTTCATGCGCGAGCGAGACGCAAGAGTAGACTCCCCCCTTTTTTTTTTTTTTTTTTATTTTTTTTACCTTCCTCCTAAAGCGGAAAGGAATAAACTTTTTGCACAGCCTGTCCTCTGTTCTTTTCTACGTTATATAGCAGGCTTAGAAAGCATCTCAATCCTGTGAACCTCTCAGTACACATATTCAGTACCACGTCGTCTCCTCCATCTCCACTACTTCCTCCTCCTCCTCCTCCTCCTCCTCATTATCCCCTTCCTTCTGCTCATGCTCATGCTCATTCTGCTCATCTTTCTCCTTTTGCTTTTCCTCCTCCTAATCCTCGTCACCGTCCTTCTCATCCCCCTCAACGTCTCCTTTAACTAACATGTCGGATGGGTATGCACGTATTATCCATGGAAAGCTTTATCGAGTTGCACGGCCTGTCGTAGGGGATGTCTAGCCTTTTCAAATGCATACCCGGCAGGAAAATGGTAATATCCTACTCCTGGCTCGTAAAACATGCTTGCCCTTTGCTTGGCTGATAGGAAGATAGACGTGGCGGAGGAGGACGGCGCGTAGGAAGGGCAATGCCAAGGAGAACGCCGAGACTAAAGGTGAAGGCAAGCACGCCCAACTTCTAGAGAGGGACTGGAATATAACTATAGCATAACATTTTGTGGATCATTGTATAATAGGTAAAAGGCGACAAACACTCAAGAACGAGGATTAGAGTAGATAGGAAACCGGGGCGGATCTTAGGGATACGGCGCCTTGTATATCGCTCAGCAGAGACAATATACATCTCCCAACCAGAGGTACTGCATCGAGGCGCTCTACCAATACGGCACCCTCCTCAACAAGATCAAGTCAAGAATCGTCACGCTAGAGCGAACCTTCGGCCTTGTCATGGTAGCGCATAGAGAGCACTGCCACTCTCTCATCCGTGCCATAACGTCTTGTGTCTCTTCGGTGCGGTGGACTTGCTATCGCATGCGCTCGTCGAATTGAGCATGGATCAGCTGAAGATCTAAGATAAGATGTTCGCCATCTGAGGAGATTTCCGTGTTGTTTCTTGACAATGGCGGTGTCTCGGCTGAGGCTTTGAACTCGAGCGCAGACTTCTCAAGTTCACTTCGGGTCATCGCTGGGTTCATGGGAACGATGATTTATTGGGAAAGACGGTGGAGGCGGCAGTGAATAGCGATTGCATTTGCGACCGCATGTGGCCTCGTTTTCGGGTGTAGGCTTCGTCTTTTGTTTGTACACGATGGTAGAGAAATGAATGTATGCGATCTGTGATCGCCTCTAATCGCTACTACCTAACCTGTCACCGGGTTTGGAGGAAATTGCGAGCCCTGAGTGCGATCCACCGCCACCGGTGCCTTCCATCAGAAACAGACATGAGGTAGACAAACTAACCGAACATGTACGCGAGTAGTTGAAGTGAAATCGCGAATACCTAACCCCGCGCGACTTCCGGGCACTTTACCAGCTCCTCAGCATCTCTCCCTTGTGGGACTACGACAGTCCTACTATAGGATGGAGATCGTGGAGGACCTGCTACATATCACCCAGCTCGCTAGCAGACGCCTGACCCGGGACTAAATGGCGCTTTATCTTCACCATACCTCGAAGTCGACCGTAGCCAAGTCCTACGACCGTCCTGCCGCCATCGCCGCGACCCTATTCCTGATCAACAGGGCTTGGAAAGACTACACGTTCCCATTCTACCCGCCGACCTCCCAACGTTTCAAACCCCGGGTCTTCCCGAGCCAATCCCGGCCGCTCCTTAGGGGCCGCAGCGGCATCGTGGCAGGGGCTCCGGTGCGGCTTGTACAGCGGGTTTAGTCTCCTCGCATAAGTTCAAACCCCCCTTTGGGCCACCCCAAAAATCCACACCACCATTTCTAACTACCAACTTCAAACTCTAATTTCTCTACCACTTTTGCTCTCATCTTCTTAAAACTTCATATATACCTCCTCTTCCCTATAAGAAAGACATATATAGAAGAAGATATTCAGGATGCGCTTAATGCTATCGCAAACGGGTACCCAGTTGTCACGGGCTGACTGTTTTGAGGACCCAAGGCAGTCAGACGTAGCAGAAAAGGATAAACCACAGGAGATGACAGACCAATGAGGTTAGGACCGACAGGACCGAAGGGCAGTCCCACCAGTCCACTAGGGACCAACAAGACCAACAGTCAGTCCACCACAGTCCTACACTAAGGACCAAGTAAACTAGTCATCAGTCCTAAAGAGAGCTTAGAAGAAAAATATCTATATAAACTATAGTTTTTACTATATATCTAGTTTATCTTTTAAGACTTCCTAGTAATTAATTTAAATATAATTATATTTTTATATTTAAATATATACTTTTTATTAATATCTTTTAAATATTATTTAATTATTTTACTTTACTATTAATAGATAACTACCTTAATTTTATTATTAATTATATTTATCTAATATTATTAATAAATTAATATTAAGATTATAATATATTAATTCCTTCTATTTAATAAGTAATTTTATTAAATAATATTAATATCTAGGAATTATAATATTTATAAAGGAAAAATATTATAATATAGCTATAATTAAGTTATAAGAAAGTAGTATAATATTATAGAATAAGGGATTATATAATAAAGAAATTAAATAGAACTAAGTCTAATTAATTAATTAAATAGAGGTTTAATAGGATAGTTATACTTATAACTAACTAACTAATTAATTAGAAATATAATTAATTTTAGGAGAACTTAGAAGGAAAATATCTATATAAACTATAAATTCTACTTTATATCTAGTTTATTTTTTAAAACTCTCTAATAGTTAATTTAAATATAACTATACCCCTATACTTAAATATATACTTCTTACTAATATCTTATAAATACTACTTAACTACTTTACTTTACTACTAATAAATAACTATTTTAATTTTATTATTAATTATATTTACTTAATATTATTAATAAGTTAATATTAAAATTATAATATATTAATTATTTTTATTTAATAAGTAATCTTATTAAATAATACTAATATCTAGAAATTATAATATTTATAAAAGAAAAAAATCTTATTAAATTAGATAATAAAATTAAAATATTAAAAGTAACTAGCTTAATTATAGAGCCTAGAGAAGACTTTAATAATAATAAAAAAGAAGATAACTATATTATATTTATTAAAGAATTTTAAAATAATATATATAAATAGTAAAATAAACTAAAAGATATTAAAGGTTTTATTATTTAATAATAAGATATTAATATTTAAATTAAATAGTAAATTATTTAATTAAAATAAATAATCTAGTAATTAAATACTAATATTATAGCTAAAAGAAGTAATACCTCCTCTATATTTACTATACCTATAGTATTTAAACTTAAGATTATTATACTAGAGAAGTATAAAGGAAACTAGTAAAAGCTATAAAAGTTTTTAATTTAAATAAAAATCTTTTTATAATATTATAAAAACTAATTTTATATTAAAGCTAATAAAGTTACTATTATAGATTAATATTTTATAAATAATATATTTACTTAATTTAAACTAACTTTCTAAAATTATTTAGAAAATAATAAAATTAGATAATAAACTAAAACTATTAAAATCTTTAAGAATTATAAAGATTTTAAAGATAATCTTAAAAAAACTTTTAAAAAACTTAATAAATAGTAAATTATAATTTAATAATTTAAAAAGTTATTTTAAAAAAGATCTATAGCTAAATATACTACTAAGTTTAAATAGATTATTATATATTTTAACTAAAGAGATAACCTTTTAATAAACTATTTTTATAATAAACTTAAAAAAGAAGTTAAAGATAAGCTCTATAAGCTTAAAAAACTAATATAATTAGTTAAATATATAAAAATTATTATTAAAATTAATAATTAACTTTATAAATAGTAATAATAAAAATATAAATAAAATACTATAATAAAAGTTTATAAGTTTTAAATTTCTATTTATATAAAGTAGAAGAGAAGTAATAGTAATATTTTATAGAAAACCTATTTAAGATTTATAAAACT